TGGTCTACCTAATCATAGACAAGCTTCCCTGACAATGAGCTTAGTCAATGGTAAACTGACCAACATGAATTCAAAGCCTTTGAATAGACTAAGTATTGGAGACAGGTCCACTGGGCACATGAGCTAGAGTAGTCTCCAGAGGGGTGTCTGTCACCCGTCCCCACACTCCCAGCATTTAACTAAATTGCCACCAAATTAAACAATGATAGAAGGTGTCAGATGTTTTCCTTCTGTTTGGTTATTAGTGCTTTTTCCCCCTTTCATTTTTCTTAAGACAGGCTCTCACTATGTAACCTAGCCTGGCCTTGAACTCATGACCCTCCTGCCTCAGTCTCAGAGTGCTGGGATTGCAGGTGTGTGCCACCATGCCCAGCAGCTTTCGGCATTTTGTAAATGTTTGTAGGAAGTTCATATTCTCTTGAGGGGTAAAGAAGATGTAGACGACTTAAAAGTATTAAAGTATTATCATTGCATGGCCTTTAAACTGTTCCTGACTGTGCTTTCATTTCCTGGGTCTGACGTGTGAGGGGTGTGACTGCAGTAGCCCAGGAAGACTGATCTTCCGACCCATTCATTGCTTACAAATTATATTTCAATGGTAAGTTAAATAAACTTAACCAACAAGGTCGCCGAAGTTCACGTGAGGCTATGTGTGGCTGGTCTACTTTATACTTAGCTTTCTGTTTTGGGGTCGTTGGGGGGTTTTTTGGTCCTAAGGCTTGAACTCGGGGCCTGGGCACTGTCCCCTGAGCTCTTTTGCACAAGGCTAGCCCTCTATCACCTTGGGCCTCAGCTCCACTTTTGAGTGGTTAATGGGAGATAAGAGTCTCATAGGGACTTTTCTGCCCTGGCTGGCTTAGAACTACAATCCTCAGATCACAGCCTCCTGAGTAGCTAGGGTTATAGGCGTGAACCACCGGTACCCAGCTTAAATAGTTTTAAATGGGGTGCAGTCTGTCCTGCCCTCACACAGCCAAATACATTTTCTAGTAATGTAGGGAAAAGAAGGATTTCAATGAGGCTGCAGGAGAGATTCCCAAACCTAAACTTCTCTGGTTCTTTAAGAAAGAAGTGAATGGATGCCTTATACACCACAGAGCCTCCCTCATCGCCGCAGCCAGTACATCTGTGCAGACTACACGTCAGGATAAGCCAAGACTGCCGGATGACGAGAGCCTGGCTCATTTCTGTGGGCCACGCTGTTTACCCTGGGTAGCAAACAAACAATCAAAACAAAAACAAAAACAGTATGGCAGAGCAAGTTGACGAACCGCTCCCAAGTAACCATTCCAGAATGACATGAATCATGGCATGTGTTGCAATAACTGCTTACTTAAAAGCAGATGTTGTATGAAAAAGACAGGAATAAGTATGCTCTGTGTTGGGGGGTTAGGGGGGATTTTGGAAAGGCAGCTGCCTCTGGAGACCAGGAGGACTGGCATCCAGTGTTTCTGTTCCCCGTGGGTGACTCTCTGCTCTGCGGCCCCCTAGTCCTCCTTGAACTTGGTTGACCTGATGGAGACCTGGCCTAGGCAGGGTGGGGGAGGGAGCATGAAGAAAGGCTGACCCTGAGACGGGGCTTTGGGGCAGGCAAGTCCACCCCCGCTTCTGCTTCCCCTTTGGCCTCACCCTTACGACAGTGATGGAGGAGATCTTTGGAAAGCCACTTAGAGCTATTGGTATTGCCTGGGGCATATCTCCCCTGGAACTCCACTGCATTTCTACTCAAAGGGTGAGCTAAGGTGGCTTTGCTCTACTCAAGCCCAGACTGCCCCTCAGAAAGCCAGGGATGACTTCCTGGGAGATAAAGGGCTAATAGAAGGTAATGGATGCAGACAGCATCCACACTCCTCCTTGCTCTGCTGTTCCTCTAGCCTGTCTGCCTCCCTGTCTCTCCTCTCCATTACTTGGTGGGCCTCCTTGGTAATTATCTGTCTTCTCTGACCATAAGGCACAGAGCTGTAGGAACAGAGATGTCCCTCTTGCCCTCAGCAGTGTAGACACCATGGCAGAAGTCCTACTCGTACTTGGTCAATGAGCAGATTGGAGTAGGGATCAGCCAATCACGGGAGAGTTCTTTCTCCTCCATCTACCCATGCCATTGGTATCTCCCTGAAGAACTCACAAGCCAAAACAAGAATGGCTCCACTGGTCAGGACCTGGGTGTCTTCTCCCACAATGACCTGAGGGCCATGTGTGTGGGACGCAGCTCAGAGGAGCATCAGGGAATGCTGTGATCTCAGTGAGACAGGGTGAGTGATGATCCACAGATGGACAAGGAAGGTGTGTCCTGGCGCCATTTTGAAGTGAATGTCTGGGAAGACCTGGCCTGACTGTTGAAGGGCTGTGGGTTCTAGTCTCAGCCCTATTTCCCTGTCTTATCTCTAAAAGTATGGCCTCAGCTCAGTTTCCCAAGCTTCAGAAGATCCAGAATCATCTGGGAGCAGAGGCAGAAAGATGGAATCTTACTCCATGGCCAAGGGCGTCAGCGCAGAGGCCTTCAAAGACGATGTGTTCATTTCATGGTTCGACTATTGGCTGGGCCATCGCCACAGAATGTGGCTGAAGACAAAGCGTGCAAGGAAGGCTCTGACTGGTGTTGGCAATGGGCTGTGAGAGATACTGCATAGTGGGAAGGGAGAACTTAAGATGACAGGAGCAGAGGCGATGGCTGGCGTGTGGGTGGTCAACTTCGGAGTCAGTGAGGTCTCTAAGTATGAAACCCCCAAGGGGGACCCCTAAGAATTGAATGCAGAAGTCCACTGGGGGCCCAAGAACAGGAAGGACCAAAAACACTTAGAGGACCCCAGGGGCCTGTCCTTCCCATGGTGGGAGGTCACCGTGCAGGTCCCCACAGCTCCTGTCTTCCCAGGGTGTCAAGGTGAGTGCATGCTGTATGGGAAGGTTGCCCGCCAGGAGGGCAGTGGGTGACATGTGCCTGGCTCTGTCATGGGCTTGTGCTCAGGTGGAAAGGATCTGGATGTTTCTCTTGCCTTTCATACCTGCCATTTGGACCAGGAGCAATTGTATCCCTCTTGTGGCTATGTGTGAGTGAAGGTTGGAAGTGACTAAGCCTAGAAGTGAACTTGACCATAGGATAACATGGCTTCCAAGAGCCAAACACAGTGACTTCAAAAGCTGCCTCAGGCATGTGTGATGGATAGAAAGAGGGGACAACCAATGTGGATACGAATGTGAGGACCTGACCATCATGTCATGCATGCCTACTTTAAGTGCTTTTCATGAGAAGAAAGGCAGCCAAAGCAAATGTAAGGGCCAGAGTCTGTGGGGACATACATGGGAGGTCCAGGTGAGAAGTGGGAGCACTCGGGACTCAGGCTCCACCCACACTGCTGAAGGAAGGACTGCTCCCCTCCGCTCACCAGGCCCAGAACAGGCTGGGCCTTGCACACCAGCCTGACTGTGAGATCCTGAGCTGCAGGGACCCGCTCATCACTGATGGAGGTCGGGGATGGGGTGCAGATTATAAGACTGTGCATTTTAGGTGTCATCTCTTCTTCTGTAGATGTGTTTTCAGTTGAGGGGTGGGAGAGGTGAGATAAAAAGGGAAAGAGTAAAACAGTACATTCTCACACTCGCCCCGCCATCCCAGGAAAGGGCAGCCTCGACTGGTTTTAGCAGGCGTCAGAACTCTGGGGTCTAGCATTCACACATTTCCTTGTCTGGGGATTGTACCTGTGTGGTCCCTGAGCCTCTTTTAACTTCTCTCCCAAGCCCAGTGTCTCAGGACTCTGCAAAGAGGGCCAAGCACCCTGAGTGCAGTCTGTGTCCAAAGGGCTGGGAGCTTCCTGAAATGACTCCACAGATACCAGTAGGCTTTTTGCCATCGCCTCCTTTCCAGCTGTGCTTGCTCTGGAGCTCAGAACACTCAAGCCACCGCTTGTTGGACATGGATGGCCCTCAGCTCGTACCTGGACTGGCCTGTGCTCACCTAGTCAGTGAGGCCCCAGAGCCCACCTCTGGTGGGAGAGGAGGGAGTTTCATGTGACAGGTGAGGCTGAGACCATGGAGGCCCCTGGACCAGTTCTAGGAACCCAGAGATGGTCAAATGCCAGTGCCTGGTGTCTGCGTTGTCTTTGTAAGTCCCAAAGCTTTGGAGGAAAAAAGATAAGACAGAAAGCCAACCCTGCAAGCATTTCCCGAAGTTTTCATCAAGGCTGTGACTACATATCTCAATATAATCATAGTAGGAAAGCAATGTTCTCCCCTCCGTGGGTGCCTCTCTACCAGCAGGTATTTGGGGAGGTACAAAAGCAAACTTCTCAAGCACACTTCAAGGTGCTTCTGAGGGCAACTGAGTCCCACAGAAGAATCAGACCTTTGGCAATCTAAGAAGGAGTGGCAAGCCGAGGTGTCTCCTGGGCTCCTGAGCCTGAACTCAGGCTGCAGACACATTCTCTCCATCTATCCACATTGGACCACTCATGGAACCCAAGCAGCACTTGGCCACACTGGAGGAACACATTCTCTGGAGACTGATCAACACCTACATTTGATCTGGGTTTCTGCTGCTCTCAAGGAGAGAGAGGCAGGCTGAGAGATGGACTCCCTAGTTCCCTTACGATGCTCCCTGGACACAGGGTGTTCTGATGAGAAGGGGCTGGGGAGGGAGCTGTCCCCCTGGAGCACAGCAGCTTCTAACAGTGGATTTGGTGGGGATTCTCAGAACTAAGGGCTCCTGCTTCCCTGGTAGGACTCTGGACAATAAAACTCAACAGTGAGCCCACAGTATTTGACAAGAGGGTGCCATTTCCACTGGCATTTGGTCATTCGTGGGCTCAAGAAAAAGCACGCTGTCTGCCCATGGATGGGGGCAGGACATGCAGAGGCAGCCACAGCCCAGGAGAGGCCGAGCAGGAGCTGCCTGGGCTTTGAGTGCAGAACCGTGGGGTTCACCTCCCAACACACAGGAGCCCCCGTGCGTACCTGAGTGCTCTCCTGACACATGCACACACGGTGTACGGATATATTTCCTTTAATGTTTGGAACTGGAAAATCTCTTTAATTCAGTCTACGCTTGTATAACACAAATGTTCGAGAATCCACCACCCACCCAACCTGGTGCTCAGGCCCGCCTGTCGGCAGCCAGCGACGGAAGCGTTCACGTGGCTGTTAGGTAGCAGCTTCCAGCAAGTAAATGAAGAAAGGTAACATTTATGCAGGTGTGTGTATACATATATATAGAAAATTGTGGCATCCTTAATTCCGGCCCAAGATTAAGAAAGCATTCACTTGGGTATCACTCAGGAAACATCTGGCAGACACAAGATGTCACTGAAGAGGCACATCATCTGATGAGGCCGCCCCCAGGGATGACACATCAGGTTACTAGGAAGAAGAACGAATATGCTCACCTGTGGAACTGTATCTCCAATAGATGCGTATAGATGCGGGTGTGCAGGTATGTGTGTGTGGTGTGTGTGTGTGTGTCTGCAGGTGTGTGTGGCTGTATGTGGCATGTGTGTGAGCTGCGTGGCCAAAGTAGAAAACACCAGTTTATTCTGTTCGTACTAAGCAAGTTAAATAAATCAGATTTTTTTTTTTGTAACCTATAACACAATTCTTTCATTTTTTTTAAAAAGGAACATTGAAGATCTTCAAAAATTGCTACAGTACAAAAAAAGTGTATGTGTGTATATGTGTGTCTCTGTTGGTATTTATATATTTATATATGTATAATAACCAGAAATAGTGACTCTATCGGAAGATTCCCACCCCTGTTTTCTGTGAAATTTCTACACGTGGTCCGCTTGGCTCCAGCTTGCAGCCAAGCTTTGGGGTCAGATCATGGCACATAATGGCATTATTGGCATGGGTTCAGAATCGTGGTACAAATTCCAGACGTCAGGTATCCTTCCTTCTGTCCTTTTTGCTTGGTCTCCGTGGCTCTCTGACTCCAGTCCCCTCCTTGCATTTCTTCTTTCTGTTCTCCAAAGAAAACTCCAGGAGGAGGCGGCGGCCCATAGGCATGAGCATTTGTACAAAAATATATTTTGCCTAGAGTGTCCCGCTCTGTGAGTTTTCCGCCGGCAAACAGAATGGCAGCTTCCCTTAGATAGTCTAGTTTTAGGTTTTGTATTTTTGTTTTGTTTTGTTTTTACAGGTTCACCAACGGGATCCTGTGTGGAAAGAAGAGAAGAAGACATTAGAAGATGGTCGGGGAAGGGAGGGCAGGGCCCTGGCACAGGGAGCCTTGAGGCTGCGTGAAAAGCCCACTTGCTCTCCATAGCCATTAGCTGGCACCAACATGGCCTCGGGAGGCACAGAATGCCTTGGAGTATGAACTGGCCAGCAAAAAATGCAGCGGACACTGGGAATTCTGGGCCAGGAAGTGGGATGTGACCCTAGCCCGTGACAGGGATCTGTAGAACTTTGACCTAAGAAGATGCTACACTGGCCATCTCTACTACCCCATGGGAGGAACCACAACAGTCGTCTGGTGTATCTGTCTGTCTTTCTGTCTCAACCACCACCAGCAGGAGGCTCACTGATGCTAGCACTCTTAAGGATCAATACATCTAATGGACGGTACCTTACTGAAGAGCAAGCAAGGACCCTGTCTGTGAGGGCCTGGTCAGCCATCTGCAGTCACCTTCAGTAGGTCCTATGGGTGGTGCTGTGACTGAGAGCTCCTAAGAGCACCCCACAAGAATCAATGATGGGCCTGGTTGAAGGTGTCACCAAGTTCTCTGTGGATTCCTCCTGCCCTATTGACTTGGGGAAACAGGGGTGAAGCTCCTGGGCAGAGAGCACCTACAGGCTCCAGGTCACATGCTAAGAACAGCCATGAAAGCTAGGGACCCCTGCAGTGTGTTCATGAACAGCACAGGTACAGCATAGATCACTGACCTGTGCCAAAGCCTAGCCTTGACATGTCTGTCCATGTTACCAACCAGGGGCAGGTAAGGAGGATGGCCTCTCCAGGGGAACCTAGCCTAGACATCAGAGGCTGGGCCCTGGGATGCCGATTCACCTGTCCCACTACCCCAAAGGCCATCTGTGAGGCTGAAAGGGAAATTGCCCCTATGGGCCCCTTGTCGCCTTCCTAAAGAAATGGGACGTCCTGTCCTGTCCAATACACACTGGACCCTTCTTGCTAACCTTACTGCTGCTGCTCCTAACCCAGCCTCCACCCATGCACCCCTCCCAACCTTCTAGAATGGGGCAGAGAGGGGTCTGAAAGAACGAAGTAATTTAGCACACACAGAACTATCCCTCCTGCACACGTGCCTTCCTTAGAGTTTTCCAAAGTTAGAAAATGGGGCACAAGTGTTGTATTGTTCCACTCAGATGAGCCACATGGAGTCGAGGGGTTCATGGAGACGAGAAGAGGAAGAGAAGGGTCTGGAGGGGTGGGGCAGGAGGGGGATGCGAGGGGCAGGGCTGGAGGAACAGAGCCGGAGGAGGGATGTGAGGGGCAGGGCTGGGAGCAGAGCCAGCGGTGGGGATGCGAGGGGCGGGGCTGGAGGGGCCAGGGTCCAGAGGGCCTGGGCGGAGGCAAGCTGCAGGTGGACCAGGGCTGGGGGCTTGGTCATGGCAGCTGTCCCTGCCCCATGGTGCGAATGGACTCCACGTGAACTTACAAACGGTAAAAATGGCAAGCTTTTGCTATATCCATTTTTCCAGTTAAATTTAAGTGATGCAAGTGGGGTCTTTCTAGTGGCTTATACCTGAAGGGTTAAAGTACTAAGAGCAGCAAATTCTGTCTAGCAGAGCAACACGTGGTGGCAATCCAAACACCTGGTTGGTTGTGTGCCTTTATAAGCCCTGCAAATCTTTAGCTTGGGGCTCTCCTCTTAGGCTCCATGGTGTCGGAGTATAGGCCGAGGCCCGAGCTGCAGCCCATCCAAATAAAACCTTAAAATAGCTGTAAAGTCTGACTCTTGGTGGTCTTCTTGGTGGGGGGTGTCCTGCAACCTGGACACAACATATTAGTGGGGGCTCATCCGGGATCCCCCCCAAAGACCCCCAAGACCTCAGACTCCGAAGGTAAAACAGAGCTGTCAAATTTGTCTTTTCCTGTCATTCGTCTGTTTGTGTGTTTTACTTTCATTTTTCTTTGTGAGGACAGCCACTCCGATTCATATTGTGTAAAGGATTGTAGAAGCAGACGCACTTGCAGGACAACCCTGGAGGAACTGGGAGATGTCCCAGATCCTCTTTTGAGGGGGGTCCTTGGAACCCCGCCATGAGAATTGTTTGGCATGAGTCGGTTCGGTGTTGGGCCAGAACTGACCAAGATGGCCTCCTAACCGAGGCCCAACTCACCCACTGTGGGTCCACTCCTGCTTCCCCGCTACAGGAGTCAGCAGACCAATTTGGGAGATCTCCACTTCGTAAGCTTTTTTTTTTTTTTTTTTTAACTGTCAGGCCTGCGTGTGTTTTGTTTGTACTGTTTATTGTTTTTTGGACTGTACAACTGATGGGAAACCATGGGCACCATCCATCTAGCCCCCTAGGCTTACAAAAAGAAACTAAGAAAGAGGAAAAGAAAAGGTACCCCTGGTTTTTCAGGGAGATAACTTGGAAGAAGAAATGTTTCCTCCCCCATACTCCCCTTTCCAGGTTCCTTCTGCAGAGCCTGAGAATGATCAAGAGGAGGAAGGAGCTATAGAACCCTCGGCACCTGCCCTTAAAGTTTCTGAGGGGCCAGTCACTCGACGCCGCCGTGGGATCACCCCCCTTCTAATGCAGCTGTTTTTCCCTTACGCACTGTAGGTCCTGTGGATGCAGATGGTCAACAGCAACCCCAATATTGGCCATTTTCTACCAGTGATCTATACAATTGGCGGACCCAAAATGCCCCCTTTTCTGAGAAACCCCAGGAATTCATTTGCTTGAAACTATTCTCTTTACTCATCAGCCCACTTCGGATGATTGTAGTCAGCTTTTACAGGTCCTTTTTACCACCAAAGAGAGAGACTGTATCCGAGAGGCAGCCCAGAAACATATCCCTGGTCCCACAGGAGTGCCCATCACAGATCCTGCCCTGATCGCTGCCTATTTTCCTGAGATCCGACCAACATGGGACTACAATATGGTTGAAGGTAGGGAATGACTCCTCGTCTACTGCCAGGCTCTGTTGGCAAGTCTCGAGGCAGCAGCTTCCCGACCTACTAATATGGCCAAAGTTTATGATGTTAGACAGGGAGGAAGTGAAAGTCCAGCAGCATATCTTGAGCGGCTCATGGAAGCTTTTAGTCAATATACCCCGTATGATCTTGAGACCCAGGAGTCGGCTCAGATGATTATGTTTGCCTATATAAATCAAGCTGCACCAGATATAAAGTGAAAGTTGCAGGCTCTAGACAGACTTGGTGAAAAGTCTATTAGGGATCTAGTAGCCACGGTGGAAAAGGTTTACAATAAGAGAGAGACAGAGGAGCAAAGACAGGAAAGGAAGGACAGAGAACGTGAAATTGAGCGTGAAAAGAGAGACCGTGCCAAGGAAAAGAGGCCAGACTTGTTGGACTCGCCACTATCACATGCCAAGCATACCTGGTACACAGACAGCAACAGTTTCATTCGAGATGGAAAAAGGTATGAGGGCGCAGCAGTCACCACAGACACTGAGATAGTGTGGGCAGAAGCACTCCCCCAGGGAACGTATGCACAAAGAGTAGAACTAGTGGCACTAACAAAAGCCCTACAGATGGGAAAAGGCAAGAGACTAAACATTTACACGGACAGTCGGTATGCTTTTGCCACCGTGCATGTCCATGGAGCCATTTACCAAGAGAGGGACTGCTGCTGACAGCTGAGGAAAAGGCTATTAAAAACAAACAAGAAATTTTAAGCCTCATCTAGGCCTTATGGGAACCAGCAAATATTGCCATTATGCACTGCCCTGGCCATCAAAAGGTAACTGATTCAATAATCAAAGGAAATACCTTGGCCAATCAGGCAGCTAAGGAGGTGGCTCTCCAGCCCAGAGTGGAAGTACTGACTCTAGTAGACCCAGGGCCAGGAGCTTTGCCTCCTGAGCCTCAGTACTCCCAAGAAGACTTGGAGTGGATAAAGAAAATTCCCATGGCCTATAAACCCCCAAACAGAGAAGGAAATAAAGACCGGTGGAAAACTGGTGAGGGGAAACTTATCTTGCCACAAAGATTGGGCAAGGGAATTCTTATGAGAATCCATCGGGTCTCTCACATGGGAACCCGAAGAGTGCAGGACTTGCTCCGACACTCAGAAGTAAAAATTAGGCAAGGAAATCAACTCTGAGGACATTGTTAAAAATTGTAAAGCCTGTCAGCTCACCAAGGCCCCCAATCAACCGGTTACAAAAGGAGCTCGCCTCTATGGAGATAGGCCAGGTGTGTATTGGGAAGTAGACTTCACAGAAATTAAAACTGGAAAATTTAGATATAAATATTTGCTAGTTTTTTGTAGACACCTTTTCAGGATGGGTTGAAACCTACCCAACAAAGCATAAGACCTCGAACGTTGTGGCTAAGATGATCCTGGAAGAAATCCTACCCAGGTATGGCTTTCCATCCACCATCGGGTCAGACAACGGACTGGCCTTCGTCTCAAAAGTAAGTCAGGGAATAGCCATGGCACTGGGGACGGACTGGAAATTGCACTGTGCTTATAGACCCCAGAGTTCAGGGCAGGTAGAAAGAATGAATCGAACTCTAAAAGAGACCTTAACTAAATTGGCTTTGGAGACTGGTGCAGACTGAGTATCGCTCCTTCCTTTTGCCCTGTTTAGAGTAAGAAATTCACCCTATCAGCTTGGCTTTACTCCTTTTGAAATTATGTATGGACACCCCCACCCATTATCCCTAGCCTTGAGACTGAATTGCTCGCTGATTTGGATGATACTGAATTTCTGTGTAAGCTTGACTATTTACAGCTGGTGCATAAGAGTATGTGGTGCATAAGAGTACGTGGCCCCAGCTTAGAACATTATATGATTCTGCTTCTATTCCTACCCCCCATTCGTTTAAACCAGGGGACTGGGTGTTTGTTCAAAGGCACAACTTGAGATCTCTGGAACCACGGTGGAAGGGACCTTACATGGTGCTACTGGCTATACCCATTTCCCTTAAGGTGGATGGCATTGCTGCTTGGATCCATTGCTCCCACGCCAGACCGGCTGACCCCTTTGCCCTGG